TCAAATAAGTTATGAGATAAGTTATATGACATTGATATATAGGCTAGATGAAAGTATACACATGAATACATATATAAGTGTATATGTTATTTTATATGCTATGGGATATACCCATGAACATATGTGATGTGATATATGCTGTGAGAAATGACCCATGTGACTAAGTGTGAATTGATATAAGTATGTGATATGAAGTTATGGGTATATGTGTCATATGTTATTATATGTGACATGATATATATGAGTTTATGTGATATAAAAGTGTATATGTGAAATAACATGATAGGTGATAAAACCGTGAGCCTATATGATTATGTGTTATATGTTACATGATATGACATGCGAGTTACATGAACAAATAAGAAATGGTATAAGTCATATGAAACGATCTACGTGAATACATGCACTTGTGATACATGTGGTATGCTATGAGATATATGGTTACACATACATGTGGTATGTGACAGAAGAGAAATAACAAGTGATATGAAATGTTATAAATGATAATGCCCATTTTATGTGATATGAGAGCTAGGGGTATAAATAATATGCCAAGAGTCGAGGGTTTACCTATGTCTTTCGAGACATATGGACATTTTACCTAGGTTCTTCGGGACTTATGGACATTTTCCGAGGTTCTTTATGACCTCTGGATAGTTGCCGGGGTCTTTGTGACCTCTGGATAGGTCCTTCGGGACATTTATACGAGTTGTGGTGATAGCATAGTGGTGCACAACCTTAATAGACTCACGTATCTATAGTTCTCATATGTGTACCATGGGCTAATAAAGAGATAATATTATTAAACTAGATATGATGATATGTTTGTTTCCTTATGAAATGTTATGTGTGATATATGATGGTACAAATGGTAATTATAAGATTATATGATAAAAGGAATCAATGATAATGATAAGAATGAAGATGATGATATAGTTGTTTGTGTGTATTTGATTTACGATAGGATATATGTTTTACATGACATGATATATATATATGTTATATGGATACATGAGTACATATTAAGGTATATGTGAATGCGTATAATTGATTGACATGATGATATAATAACAAGTCTATCATATATATAGTATGGGCATAAAAGATCATAGGAACAGGAGATAAGAGATATGAATGATAATGACATATATGTATGTATGTATTTATTACATATAACAGTATATGATTTGTAAGAAATGATTACTAGTAAATGTTTACATTATATGTTTATTGTCTCACTAAGTCATAGACTTAGCGTGTGATTGTTTCACACGTAGGTTACAGAAGTGAGAAGAGTAAAGAGCAATGTGGAGCAAGACAGGTCAGTTCTCCTTACCGAAGGTCGATCAGAAGAAAGATGAATAATATGTATGTTAACAACTAAAGTTTTAGTTGGCATGTATTCAAAATAATGTATTGTATAAGCTCTGAATAGTTTTATAAACGTTTTGAATAAGTTATATGTTATAAAAGTTTTAAATTATTAACTAATTTTGTACAAGCAAAAGTTTTGAAAAGTTAATGTGATATCTCGGACTCGGATCCGGGTCGGATACGAGTTGGGGGTGTTACAAAGTATCTCAATTCTCCCAAGTCTTTCATTTTGAACTTTGAACTCAGTATACACTTGAGCTCTTCTATCATATCAATATTACTTCCAGTAATTAGCAAATCATTTACATAAACCAGCACAACAACCAACTTGTCTGCTACTCACCTTGTAAACAACGAGTAATCATGCTTGCTTTGTTGAAAACCCGCTGATATAAGGGCTTCAGACAGCTTCTTGTTCCACTGTCTAGAAGCCTGCTTGAGTTCATATAGAGACTTTTGCAGCCGACAAACCATATGCTCCCCCTGGCTGGAAAAGCCTTCTGGCAACTACATGTAGACTTCTTCAACCAAATCTCCTTGCAAAAATGCATTGTGAACATCCATTTGCCACAATGGTCAGTCAAAGATGGAAACAAGAGCCAAAATCAGTCTCACAGTGGTGAGTTTAGCAACAAGAGAAAAAGTCTCTACATAGTCAACCCCCTCCTTTTGATTATATCCTTTGGCCACCAACCGAGCCTTGAATCTTTCCACCTCACCCGAAGCATGGTACTTAATTTTATAAACCCACTTGCAGTCAATGAGAACTTTACCAGAAGGCAAAGATACCATAGTCCAAGTATTATTTAATTCCAATGCTTGAATCTCTTCTCTCATGGCATGCTGCCATTGCGAGTGTTGACAAGCTTCATGATAAGTGGTGGGTTCATGAAAATGAGAAACAGAGGCTAAAAAATGTTGAGTAGGTAATGGTAAATGAGAGTAAGAAATGTACTTAGAAATGGGATAAGCAGTAGAGGATGAAGTGGATTGGCAGGTGCAGACATAACCGTTTAACCAATTTGGAGGCTTGGAGACACGAGAGGAGCGTCTAGACACAACAATATCTTGTGCTAAAGGAGGTATACTATCTTGAGGAGGACTTGTTGAAAAATTAGATGGACTACCAGATGCACCTGTTGAGAAATCAGAAGGAGAAATTGAGGGAATAGGTGACATAATATGAAATTCTTGGGAAGAATTATCAACATGAGACATATTAGTTGGTATTGAAGAATCAAGGACTAGAAAATCAGAATCATGAATATGAGAATGTGAAGGAAAAAATGAGAAGATTCTGAAACAGGAAAATGAAAGGGAAAGATAACTTCATGGAACACAACATCTTTACTCACAAGAAACTGCTTTGATTGAAGACTAAACAGAAGGTACCCCTTTTGAGTTGAAGAATATCCCATGAAAACACAGGGAATGGCCTTAGAAGAAAACTTGTCAGAGTAGTTAAGCTTGGTAGCATAACATAAACATCCAAAATCCCTTAAATGAGAAAGATCAGGAACTCTATGATGAAGGGCTTCAAAAGGTGTTTTGAAATTCAAAACAGAGGAAGGTAAATGATTTATTATATAGCAAGCTGTGGTAACACACTCTCCCCAAAACTTAATAGGAACTTTTGAGTGAAAACGAAGTGCCCTTGCAACTTCGAGAATATGTCGATGTTCGTGTTTAGGGATGGCAACGGGCCAGGTTCGGGCCGGGTATTGGTCCCCCCGTCCCCGTCCCCGTTTAAAAAACCGGTACCCGTCCCCGTTTAAAAAATCGCGGGGAAACGGGTATCCCTGTTTAGCATAAACAGTTATTTAAACGGGTATTGGGCCGGGTATTGGGTCGGTATTGGGCCGGGAATCGGGCCGGGTATATATATATATATATATTTAAATTAAATATATATTTTTTATTTAAATTAAATTTATTAATATTATATATATATATAAATAATTATTTTTAATATTTATCGGGTCGGGTATCGGGGCGGGTAATCGGGGCGGGGATTACCAAACTCGTCCCCGTCCCCGTCCCCGTTTAAAATAAATGGGTTTTCTCCGTCCCCGTCCTCGTTTATCATCCCCGAACCCGACCCGTTTAATTCGGTTTTCGGTTTTTCCCGTCGGGTTTGAGTTTTTTTGCCATCCCTATTTGCGTTCAACAACCCCATTTTGTTGGAGGTCTGAACGCATGAACTTTGGTGAAGAATTCCAAGTAAACTAAAAAATTCAGAACACTGAGAATTAAAAAATTGAGTGCCATTGTCACTACGAATTATTTGAACAACGGTTGAAAATTGAGTTTTGACAAAGGTGATGAATTTTTTAAGAGAGATAATAGTGTCATTCTTCAATCTCAACAAGTGCACCCAAGTCATACGAGTAAAGTCATCAACTATAGTAAAAAAGTACCTATGACCACTATGTGTAGCAATTCGATAAGGGCCCCATAAATCTATATGAATGAGACTAAAAGGAGCTAGTGAAGAAGTGAGGCTAACAGGAAACGAGAGTCTAGTTTGTTTGGCTAAAGGACATATGTGACATGAGTGTAGTAATTTGGAATCCAAGTTAACAGAATGTAACAAAGGTGGTTTATTCATGGTTGAAAAACAGCATGTCCCAAACGAGAGTGCCAAAGACTTGTATTATTACCAGAAACAACAGTCATACATTCAGATACAGGACTACAATCAACCAATTTTGAATTACAAGACAAACAGAGGAAACACTATAAAATTGCACATTTGAGGAAGTATGTGTAGATGACAAACCAGTAGGTGAAGCTGATGACTGAAAAAAATAAAGCCCCCTAAACTCTTTACCAATCCCCTTCATCCTTCCACTTGAGCGGTCCTACAGAAGACAAAAGTCAGGATAGAAAATAACATAACAATGCAGGTCACGGGTAAGCTTTGAAATAGAGAGTAGATTGTGAGTAAAATTTGGGATATATAACACATTAGACAATTTTGTGGTTGAATTTAGGAAGCAGGAACCAACATATTTAATTGGGACAGTTTTACCATTAGGCAATTGAATTGATCGGGAGGAACACAAGATAGGAGATTGCAAGCATTGTAAATCAGATAATATGTGATATGTAGCACCTGTATCTAAGACCCACGTTAGTGACTTACTAGAGGCAGGTAAACAATTATCAACAATACCTGCAAGATTCACAGCAGAATCAACCGAAGCAGCAGATGACAGAAGACTAATGATCTGGTTGTACTGCTCCTGAGTAAAGGTTTGTGCCAAGGGAACCGATGAATGCACTTGGCAGAGGCACCAGCAGGGTCAGAGACAACTACTGTAGCCTGGGCGTTCTTACGTTTAGAGAACATGAAATCGGGTGGAAACCCTATAAGACGATAACAACTATCTCGTTTGTGACCTTTAATCTTGCAATAGTCATAAACACCTTGAAACCGGCGACGTTCAGGAGTCCCAGAGCTTTTGGAGTAAAACACCGACGAATCAAGACTGGAAGGCGTAGCAGAGAGCTAAAAATAACTGATCCTAACTAATTCTCTAACAACCTACTAACCCAACAGGAGAAAGCCTGGTAACTGATACCATGTTAAAATAATGCCTCGTATTATTATTACTTTGCTAAACTGCAATATATAATACAATGTACAAGCAATAATACAATAGCTAAAAATAACTGCTCCTAACTAATTCTCTAACATCCTACTAACCAACTAACTGATTATTTGCAATCTTAACATATATCGCCAAGCGGCCAAGCCCGAGACACCAAAAACCAAAAGAAACTGAAAGCTACTTTAATTTCCCTCAAGTGATGACACTGACATGCATTTGTCCCATGCAAGTGCCCAGGTGTTGCAAGCAAAACCCTCAACGATTTTCACCTCTTTCATGCAAAACTTGAAACCTCTCCCCTTATATATAAATGGGGGTTGAGGGTTTCCGTTTCTTTCATTTCACGTTATTAGTGTTTTGATTTTCTTTTTTTTTCTTGCAAAGGCCGGCCTTTGCTTTCTTTAACTCTCCAAGGGGGCTTCTTTTTATACGTGAGTTGTTGATAATCGGGGTGTTAAAGAGAATCAAAAGAAACAATGTTGGGTGGTTTCATGCCGTTGATTGCCAACGTTCTACAGCAAGTAGGATATGCAGGCATGATCATCACCTCAAAGCTGGCCCTGGAAGCTGGAATGAAGCCCCTTGTTCTCGTTCCTACCTTCAAATCTTTGCCACCCTCGCCATTGCTCCTTTTGCCTTTTTCTTAGAGCGGTAATCGTTTCTAACTTGTTCATCAAGAAACCCTTTCATCTGTTCTTTCTTGCACGTTGCATATAGCTTGCAAGGGCTTTCTTGAAGAAGGGTTTTAATATGTTTATGATCAATGGATGAAAAAGGCCTTTCTTGAAGTTTCTTCTCGGAGACACTGGTATACCTGCATGCAGTGGTACTGTAATTGTTTGTTTGGTTTCTGAGAAACAGCGGAAAAGAAAGTTACACAGAGAGCTCTGTTTAATCAGTTGCTGAAAGGAGATTCTTTGAAAGAAAAAGTATATTTAACTCCATGCATGGCTGCCAAGACATTTCGTCTTATTTTCTTTTTCTCTAATATTTGTAACGTACAGGCGGCGGCAGCAGTATGCGTGATGTCCATGTATTTACATATGCGTGATGTCCATTACTTTTTTTTTATTGTGATAGTTGTGGGAAATTAACCTTGATTTTCACTCTTTTTTATGCAGCAAAACAAGACCCAAGATCACTATGCCTATTCTTTTCCAGATTTTTTTATGTTCAGTGACAGGGTAAGCCCACCGTTGGTGTTCTCTTCTGCATGTCATTAGGCAAATTTATTATCTGATATGGCTAACTTGAAAGTAAACATCGATCAATGCAGGGCGACAGCGAACCAGGTTTTTATTTTGTCGGACTGGAAAATACTACGGCGACGGTTGCATGTGCATTGAACAATGCACTCCCGGCAGCCACGTTTTTTGTCCTCGCCGCTCTTTGCAGGTGCAAATGCTATTTCTGGTTTATGCAAGTTATGTATAATAAGGGCGTATTTTAGCAATTGCTTTTGCCTGTACAAAATGCACTTTTTTGACTGTAAAACAGAAGACTTTTGGTCATCAAATTACCTTTTCGAAAGTCCTTTAGGATCCAAACCAAGAAGTTGCTGCTTTTCAGAAAAAAAGCAATTTTCTTTTTCCTTTTCCTCTGATAAATCGTTGAATTTGATGTTTTGTTTACTAGACAAGAAGCCGAGGGAATAAAGAGGGCATCGATGGTGGCCAAGGTATTAGGTACTCTAATATGTGTTGGTGGAGCCATGTTGCTGTCGTTTTACCACGAAAATATCATCTGCATCGTAGAATCGAAAATTCACTGGCACTATGCCGAGAAAATGTCCGGAAACGACAGTTCCGCCGCTTCGGGATCGAACTTCTTCCTTGGTCCCTTCCTCGTCATGGCCAGCGCCATGGCTTGGGCCATATGATTTATACTCCAGGTAAAGTGGAAACAACCGTATGGTTCATCAAAAACTCATCTGTCAGTACTCAGTATACAATAACAATAGATTAACATTTTGCAGGGACAAACAAGCAAGAACTTCCCATCCCCCTACACATGCACCACTATAATGTGCTTCATGGCCACCATCGAGTGTACGATCATCGGCGTATTTTCCGATCACAAACCATCGGCTTGGTCATTGAGCTCCCCCGTTAGTCTTATCGCAGCATTTTACGGGGTAAGCGCTCGAACACACGTATAAATATATATTGTTATACATCCAAAAATCAACGCGGCATACTTTTGGAGTTATTTAAATTAATTGATCCACAATTAGCAAATACAATAAATCTGATAGAAACCCAAATCTACTATATCAGCCTATATATAATAATCACAATTCAAAGTTCAACACCACCACGTATAAAGGGCCAATATATAACCCCTAGATACAGACGGTCGGTTTAGATTTTAGATTTTTCTTCATCTTTCCACCATAAATACTACGGTGGATACCGTCGACTACCGATAGCAGTTCTCTACCCAAATCAAAAAGGGTTAACTACAACGACCGACATAATCCTGCTTGTTCCATCAATAATATATATATATATTGTCTGCCGATTGAGAAGGAACAAATGATAATGTTTTCTGGTTTATCTTTCCAGGGAATTATATGTAATGCAGTAGCGTTCTGCGTTATGTCATGGTGCATACAAAAAAGGGGTCCTCTTTATGAATCAGTGTTCAGCCCTTTGTTGCTGGTCATTGTGGCTATTCTCAGTTGGGCCCTTCTTCGGAACTTACGTTTTCTTACACTCTCGTTAAACTTTTGTCGATCAACTGTTTTGTTGTCCGAATCATGTTGAGTTAACTCGTAATGGTGAAACAGTGTTGTATGGTCGCTTTTGATTGTCGGAGGGCTGTATGCTGTCCTGTGGGGAAAAGATAAAGAGATGAAACAGATAAAAGGAAATTAAAAAGAAGAGAAAGTTGAAGTCACGAAAGCTGGTGCTGGTGACATAGACAACGACGTGGAGCTGCGGTTGCAGCTGCCGCTCAAAGGCAACCAGCTCGGTGGTTAACGAGGCGGTTGGCTGGTCGGAATCGAAATGTTAACTATGTATGAATGTAACACTGCTGACCTAGCAGAGGTTTTTAGTGGTTTATTTGGCTTTCGGCTTTCGGTACTTGTTGGATGCAGTTAAAGACTTTTTAGTATGTTTTGCTGTTTCTATCTGGATTTGTTCTATTTAAGATTCTCAAATAATTTATTAGTTACCTTATTTAATTGAATTTCAGATACATTAATATCCTTCAACTGAAATTTTATTAATTTAAATTAGATAAAAATGTATAGAGATCATTTAATTATGTTATGTTAATATGATTTTTTATCAATAAAATTTCAAATATTATAAAAAATCATTAAATTTATCTTATTATTATTAATGGTCTGTACAATATTATAAATTGTATGAATTTCAATAAGTTTAATAATGATTTTTATAACATTTAATAGATTTCACAATTATTTTTTAATGATTTGATAAATTTTAATAATTATTTTATAATATTTAAAATTTTAATGATAAAAATTTATTTTAATATAATTAATTGACATTTAGGATATTATCTATTTAAATAAGGAAAAAAAATCAAGGGTAAAGCACACAAATGGTTCCCTGACTATAACATATAGCTTTGTTGGATCCCTCAACTATTAAAAGTTATAAAATGATTACTCCACTATTCAATATGTTCCAAACCTTTCCTTTTCTCTTGAAAAATTAACAACGGTTTGAGTTGGACGTTAATTTATTGACTGTGATATGATAAAATTTGATCTCATAATCTCAAATGACTATCATATCTTAGTCAACATGTTAATGTCAAGCTCAGACTGACGTTAATTTTTTAACGAAAAAATACGAGTTTGGAACATAATGAATAGTGAGGTAATTATTTTGTAATTTTTAATAATCGAGGAACTCAATAAAGCAACCTCTACATTTAAAGAACCATTTTGTAACTTTTAATAGTTAGGGGATTCAAAAAATTAATATCCTATACTCAGGGGTCCATATATGTACTTGACCCAAAAATTAAGTATTTCTTTTGTGAAGTGAATATCTGTTGAGGTGAAGAAAGGATATCGTAAACGACAGCGTCTTGTTCTATCCTAAATTCCTAAAGGCGTCGCAGCGTATTTGGGGGGGGGGGGGACCCCAACCTGAATTAACACCCGCCTCCATAATAAATAGCCCCAAGGCCCATATATTTTGTTACCTTTCAAATTTCTTTTATCTATTCGTTTGTTTCTTCCTCTCTGCAGTAGGCAGCCTCTCGGTTTCTCACCAACGTATGAATCTATCTCTGTTTTCTCTTCTCTAATATCATGTTTCTGTGTTATGTTTTCATTTGTTTTTGTTTAGATTTATATGTATGCATACAAGGCGCGTGTTTTGATTTGTCTTGAGGGATCTTTCACTATTTGATGCAAGATCTACATCTGAATCTCGGTTTTCTTTGTTATGCTTATATTCGCACTTTGATCTTGAGTAATGTTATACGGGTATTAGCTTCCATTTTGAAGCTATTTTCTCTCTCTCTCTACAGTAAATACTTATTCTATTTCTTCTTTGATCTGCTCACTTCATTCAATATGATATGATATTGTAGCTGATTTAGATCTGTTTGTTTATATTGATTGGAAAATTGTTTTTAATGTTATTCATCTCTTCCATTTTGTGCAATGCCATGCATTTCTAAGATGGAAAATGGGGATCTAGTGTTATTTGTGACAAGGTTTTTGTTCCTATTTTACTATAGCATCAATCGGACAAACAAATTTCAATTGACCATTTCTTGTATTTTGGGTGTCAGCCAAGGTAAAAATATGGGTCTGTCTTTTGCTAAGTTGTTCAGTCGGTTTTTCGCCAAGAAAGAGATGCGAATTCTTATGGTGGGTCTTGATGCTGCTGGTAAGACAACAATTCTGTACAAACTCAAGCTCGGAGAGATTGTCACTACCATTCCCACTATTGGTATTCCCTTTTCTTTCTTTTTTTTGTTTTTTTCTTTATGTATTTTTGATAACTTGATTGATTGTTAATATTGATGCTTATGGCAACCATATCCATGTGCAGGGTTTAATGTGGAGACAGTAGAATATAAGAACATTAGCTTCACTGTTTGGGATGTTGGTGGTCAAGACAAGGTAATACAACATATACACAAAAAATTGTCGAAAAAACCATGAATATTTATACTTTTACCATTATACTGTTGTCCTGGACCTGCTTGTTGGAATGACATTTTGTCATGTTAATTTAACCTGCAATTGAAGTTGCTGTTAAAACTGTTTGATGCGCTTATGGACTATCTTCTGCTGATTCAATTTCTTCATCAGCATAGGACATAAACATAAGCTACATCTACCAGCGCCACCTTGTCTTTCAAGGTTTCCTTGTTGATTATATGAGGAAGGCTATCCGAGTTTGTGGCTGACACATGAAAACTGTCCTCTTCATCTTGTATTTTCCATGTTATTAATGTGCTTATGGACGGTCCTGTGCTGATTAGACTGTTCTCCATCAGCACATAACATATTCATAAGCTACATGTATGGCCATATTATGTTTTTTTATCCCCACTTCACTGAATGAGGAATGTCGATTCATTCTATGGCAAACATTATATACCTATTTACCTTTTATTTCTGTTTTCATGGCAGTTTTGTTCAGTGGTCATTGTTATGCTAACGCTCTTTTGATTTAATGGTTTACATTTACCAACTACGTTAAAATTTTAGTTCCTTATTTTATTGTGCAATTGAAACTGATGTTAGAACTGTTGGATGTGCTTATGGATGGTCTTATCTCAGTTTGTACCATCATCAGTATCTAACGATAGCCATAAGCTACATCTATTTATGCTATCTTGTCTTTTGATTTTTTCCTTTGTATTATAAAAGGAATGGCAATCCACGGCATGGTTGTCGCAAAAATATCTACCTCTGTTTTGTGTTTTTCTTGCTATTGATTGTGCTTATGGACGGTCTTGTGATGATTAGATTGTTATTCGTCTGCACATAACATATTCATAAGCTACATGTACTGCCACCTTATGTTTTCTGTTTTCGTATTTGCTAAATGGATGAAAGCTATTCATTTTGTGGCAAACATCACATACCTATTTATCCATATTTTGTATGTTTTCATAGCAGCTCTGCTCTAGTTGTGATCGGATATTCCTATATCACATGATTCAACCTTATTATATCTTGATTTATACAGGGTAGTGCTTTGAACTCCTTTTTCTCCACTAATGAAGAAGTTCCCCCTTCTAATCAATGTCATAGACCAACTGTTAGCTGAAGACTTGTCCTCTTATAAAGATCTATGGTTTTAGCCTTTTAGGTTTACAATTAGATTATGGCTGCAATTTGTAAGTTTGAGTGCTTATGGACGGTCTTGTGTTGACTAGATGTTCTCCCATTGGCACATAACCTAATCATAAGCTATATTTGAAAATGCTACCTTGTCTTTCTAATGCTTCCTTAAGCTATATTGGAGGAACACTATAAACTTTTTGGCATACATATGTTTATGTATTTGACTGCATGTATATTAATTATCCATATAATCTTCCGGCACTTTCAGATTCGGCCTTTGTGGAGGCACTACTTCCAAAATACTCAGGGGCTAATCTTTGTTGTCGATAGCAATGATCGTGACCGTGTGGTTGAGGCCAGGGATGAGCTTCATCGTATGCTGAATGAGGTACTAATTTGCTTTATGCATGTTGCTGAGTTGTATTTGGGACATGGCAGCTCATTGTTTTACACTGGGATATTTTCCAACTTCGGTTGGATTTTGATAGAATTGTGCGGCTGTGGTCTTACGTTAGCAGCAGTTTTTTTTTTTTTATGTATATGGAATTTTACTTTTCGAATCATTATGTTACTTTGTCGTGTAGGATGAGCTGAGGGATGCTGTGCTGCTTGTATTTGCTAACAAGCAAGATCTGCCAAATGCTATGAATGCTGCTGAGATTACTGATAAGCTTGGTCTTCACTCCCTCCGACAGCGCCACTGGTAGCTTATTATCAACTGTTTGTCAACTTATTAGGGGGGCATTTGTTTGTACTTGAAAAACGTAATCATTTGTTCATTCATTGTTGTGCTTCTTTGGCAGGTATATCCAGAGTACATGTGCTACCTCTGGCGAAGGGCTGTACGAGGGACTGGACTGGCTCTCCAACAACATAGCTAACAAGGTACGATGAGACTCACAATTCACGTATGTTAATCTATTATGAGTTTTGCGTTGTTTTAACTTATTTCTTACTTGTTATCTTTCTTTCTATCTTATTCCGTAGGTATGAGGGTCGGTTGAACCTCAGTAATATCTCAGGCAGCGATCGGAGTTATTTTCTGTTTCCTTTAAAGTTCTACATGAAAATGTATTAGATTGTGTTATATATATATATATTCACTGAACTGGAAACTATGTCATCATTTGGCCTGCCTTGTAGATTGATTTCTCAAATAATATGTTTATTGTCGAGAGATTTTAACGCTTTGCATCCGAGTTTTAACAGAAAAAGCAACAGTAGAACACTATTACATAAAACTCTTTTCTTTTCTTCTTTCTCCATTAGAACATAATACACATTTACATATGCTTCAACCTTGGTATGCTACTTTCTCCATTAAACATATAACACATTTACGTATGCTTCAACTTTGATATACTCATCTATATATGTATGACCACTGAAGGCCACAAACTCTATTATGCTGCAGATGGGGCATTAATATAGTGAACAAAGTCGGCCTCTGTCAAGGCAGCCCAAAACGATAGGTCTACTGATATGTCCTTATTGTCATCAGATTCACCAACATTTGAATAGTCAAGCGACCGATCATTGTAAATATCCCACCATTTTGCCACCAGTTTCTTGATGTCATCCCTCTCCACGTTCTCTTCCTTTCCAGTATACCTCCATGGGTTGGACCCAGCAGCACAGTAGTGAACCACCTTGGCTTTTTTCTGGATCAATGTTCTCAGGGTGGCGCCATAGCATGGCCATCACCAGGTTGTAAATTGGAGGGATGGGCCTCTAAATGTCCCTAAAGAACATGTTCAGATAATCCTGTAACAACAAAACATACATTAGAATCCAGGACTGATTATGATATCAAATAAGAAATTAATTTATAAAACGATGAATTCTTACCTGTTCAGCAAAAGGCGTAGGAGGGGTAACTTTGTTAGGACACTGCTGGCAATACCCAATCTTGTACTGAAGAGTATGACTCCATGTTTTCTCACAGAAACAGTCCATCACGGCGTAAAAGTAACCGTCTTCCATGTAGAACAAGTGATCGATGTTGTCGAACACTTGAATGTCTCCGTCCAAGTATATCATCTTAGAATACTCCACAAACTGCAATTTAAGGCATATTATCTTCAGATTAACAAGAAAGGACGCAAAGCTACGTTTAACACTTCGGCGTGCAAAAGAACATAATTACCTTCCAGATACGTAGCTTGGAATAGTTGATGATATAGTAGGCCATGGCGAACTGGGTCTGGTTCTCGGGAGGATAAACGGGTTCGATCTCCTTGACTAAGCATCCCTGAGCCAGTAGAATCTTCCTGTGATCTTCGGGCACGTCCGGCAGGACCGCCACCACGAGTGGGTACTTGCTCTTAACTTTCCTCAGGCCCTTGGCTAACCCGACCACGCCCTTGACGTAGTCGCCGTTCCCTGCCAAGAACGTAACGTACGCCCTGACCAGAGCTGGGACCTTGGGGGTCATGGTGGCAGCTTTACCGCTGGTGATATTTGGCGCCATGTTTGAAACTGATGAAAGAGTATTTGGTTGGAAGGAAAATGAGTGAGTTATATACTTTGAAGGAAAAGTGTAATGAGTTGAGTGAAGTTCTTGGGGATCAAAGTGGTGTTTATATAGGAATTGGATTGATCTCATTTGTAATTCTGTTTTCTACGTTTTTATCTTTTTACATGAAAGGGTTACATCAAAATTTTATATTAATTAACAGCTTAACTACCTTAAGCCCCGACAGCAGTCAGCATCACCGAGAATCAGGGTATAATCCACCGACCATATTAGCCCTACATAAACTAAAGCTTAATTTGTTTCCTTCCTCCATTACACTAAATTTTAAATTTTATTTTTATATTTAATTTGATTTTATTATTTTCATGATGTACTATCATATTATCGAATTTTTCAATGAGATTGGAGCCTGCAGTTAATGTGCACGTCCCTGGCGAGTACAACAAGGTCACAAATGAGATGATGAAAACTTTCGTTCGGCACTCATGCCTCATGTGCTACTTAGAGAAGCATGCACTAAATCTCTCAGAAAAAAAAAACGAGTGTTTCCTCCTTATTTAAAATATATATATAAATTTAATATATACATTATTAAAATTTTAAACTCTTATTTTTTAATTTCTAAATCGTGATCAGTGCCACCAGATGCTATTGAGCAAATGCTGGATGCTGATGCCCAAACGAGCCTTAGTTTTGATCTGCTGTTTGTTCTCTTTTATTAAAAAAAAACTAAATGTATTGTTAAAATAAGAAGTTGTTTGAATTTTATTAATATTTTTTTAAATATATTTATGATCTAATATTTTTAAATATACTTTTTAATATAAAATTTATATTTATATTTATATTTATATTTCCTATGGAAATAAAATTTAATATAACAGATGGCATTAAAGAACCATAATTTATGAAAAGTAAAGCGCCGGCAAGGCGGCAACCCCACACGAAAGGTCCATGCAAATAATACACGTGGACTTCCGTAACACACGTGTCGTTAGCGTTCAACGTGGGAAAGATTTGGTGGACTGCGTAGTATGGGGTCCACTGCAGCTTCGCCACGTTATCCATCTTGGAATCCAGGTGGCAATCTCATATGCATCGGTTTGGTTTTTTTAGGGTAAACTACATATTTAATACCTAAACTATCACTTTTCCATTTTAGTAACTAAACTTTATTTTTTTCAAAATCATACATAACATTTAGTAGGTTTTAATTTGATACCCACCGTTAAAAACTTACCGGCACTGATGACATGGAATTTTTTTTATTTTTTATATTCCACACGTCTTGCAATGTAAATTCTACGCCATCAATGCTGTTAAACTTTTAACAATAGGTATCAAATTGAAATTTAAACTAAATATTAGATATAATTTTTAAAAAGATAAAGTTTAGATATTGAAATAGAATAAAAATAATAATTTAGATACTAAATGTGTAGTTTATCCTTTTATATATTGCAAAAAGGTTGTAATTTTAGTGGGCGTGTGGGATCCACTAGGTTCTATTGCGTGTCGACCATGCCAGGGATTATAGAGCCGTGGCCCATGTGTCGACACCAAACTGAAGGAATGCTGAGTCACCACGTGGCGGAGCGGGTAATACCTGTTTGAATCGACGGTACAATCAGAGCCGTTGCCTTGCCTTTGGATTATTTTTGGCAAATCTTTCTAGTTAAGTTAGTTACCCCAAAAACCAAACATACAATTACAGCGAGATAATGAAATGATTTTGGACCAACCGACCAAATGTTTTCGGATAAATAAATGTTTTTAAGACAAATGTTTTTCACTTTACACTTCACTCCAATCGCTTTGTTTTACGTCAAATTTTGGGATGGGAATATGCTATAAGATTCTTTTAATAGGTATGTCTACAGTTAAGAATATAAGGATGGATATAACAAGAAGGGTGAAGGTGGCTTCCCAAGAATTTTTGATTAACTAGTGACCACATTGGCATTGATTATGAAGTAGATAATGGTCGATATCAGGAGTTATTTATTTGGTGGACTAAATGTGAAGACCTCCATTCTAGGAATTAACTAATCACACAGTCAAGGGCGAATCATAAATTTTATCATTTAATTTCGATCACATCGATCATTACGTTTTTTAAAATTTTAAATCTAATCATCTAATTTTATCATTAATATGTTTTTATTACCCCACTGTTAATTATTTAATAGTGTTTTGATACAACACTTGACTATTTTTTAAAAATTATAAAAGCTCTATGAATTATCTTTCAAAATTAAGAAAAATATTTACGATATATTCCTTTCCAGATTTTAACCTTTTTTTTCTTATAGATTTTCTTTGATTTGTTTTTATTGTTGGAGTGCCTTCTTCCATATCCAAATAGCGGGATGTGGAGAAGTAAGAGACGAACAATGTGTCATGATTTTACGATGATCAAAAGATGGGAATTGCGTATTGAAGTCATGTTTCTCCAAGTTTTAGAGTTAAATGTTTCGAGTTTTAAAGATATTTTGGAAAAAAAAGATTGAATTGATAGAGAAGCAGAAGACAATAAGATAAATTTATTAATATCTAAAATGATGGAAGAAGACATCAAAGATAAACTATATCGACGACGACATGAAATAGATCACAATATTCTACTATTTTTTTTATTTAGAGTCTGAATAATAAAGAAGAAATAATTTAAAAGTTAAGTGAATTGAAATTTTTTAAAGTTTACTGACTAAAAAGAAATAAGAATAAAGCTGAGTGGTTAACATGTAATTTACTAAATCTTGGTCGGTTGGTTTCTTGTTGGATTGGATGTTACTGTGTCAACTGATGTTTAAGAGGTGAGTAGACCATTCATTTTTGCACCCAAAACAGGCCTTTTGGGCTCTACCATTTATGTTATTATATTCATGGTGTTTTCACACTTAATTTATCCCCCTTAGCCCATACCATTCCACACAAATGTGTCGGCCTTTATCAGAAAACACAAAACTCGGTGAACTTGACTCACTCAAACATCATACCTTCTCACTACACACAAAGTCTTCCAAAGCTTGATCGGTATGTGTAACGGCGTAGTACATACATATATATATATATATATATATATTAAGAGTTAAACTGTATATATGTATATAAGATGAATGATATGTTTGTTTTAATTTATTAGAATTTACTTCACTGTTAATACCCAGATTCAGCTCGGGATATACTACACACTGCCACTGTTGAATTGTTGTTGGAATCAAAGGGTGAAGGAGGGCTGAGAAGAAATCAAACATGTTGCAGTGTATATTTCTTCTCTCGGACGCTGGGTAAGTTGGGATCTTTTCGATTCAAAGTTTCTTCCTCTTCTTCAATCTTTTCAACTTCAATTTCATCTCGATAACGATTAAATTATTATTTTTTAAATGTGAAATCGAATAAGTATACGGATCTTTGTAATTGACAGAGAGGTGATGCTAGAGAAACAGCTAACCGGGCATCGCGTTGATAGATCAATATGTGATTGGTTTTGGGATCATGTTATCTCTCAAGGCGATTCCTTAAAGGTTCCCCAATTTCCTATTTCTCATCAATCTTGTCTCTATTTTTTTCTTCTTCTTTTTTCAATCTCCTTGCTCTTCTTTATATACCCAATTTTACAGCCAATTCAGCTTCATATGTTTTTTCATCCAATTCTGATTTCTGTTTCTTTTTTCCATTTATAATGTTCTCACATTCTTTTTGTACTTTGTTGTTGCTTGTTTTATATAGTCACAACCAGTGATTGTTTCACCCACTCATTATCTTTTTCCAAGTAGTTCGAGAGGGGATTACATTTTTGGCTTGCACCCAAGTTGAAATGCCTCCTTTAATGGGCATTGAGGTAAATATGTTATCAGTTGTTATGCTTATGCATGCTTGAGTTCTTGAGATGAGATTTAACCGCTTGAATTCCAGTTCCTTTGCAGAGTATCGGATGTCCTCTCGGATTATCTCGGTGGGCTGAATGAAGATGTGATAAAGGATAACTTTGTAATTGTTTATGAGGTATTTGTTACTATATGTTAGATGCTCAATGGAATTTCTAGGGAAGGCGATCAAAGTGACTTGTTCTTCTGTAGGGATGCGTTGCTAAGATGAGTTTATGCGAAACTTAATTGTAGCATTCATCTATGTGCCTAAGCAAATTGTCATTGTAGGTGGGATGTACAGCAAAATAGTTTCTGTCAAATTTTTTTGGTCCTTTTCTTCTATGTGACTGTTTATCACTAGGTGAAATGTGGGTTGTGTTCCATGAGCTAATATGTGCTGCTCAAATCGAGCTGAACTCACATGTTGTTGCAGCTTCTGGATGAGATGATAGACAATGGCTTCCCTCTCACGACGGAACCGAACATTCTAAGAGAGATGATTGCTCCCCCAAATATTGTTAGCAAAGTTTTGAGTGTGGTGACTGGTAATAGTTCCAATGTAAGTGATACCCTTCCTGGTGCTACAGGGTCTTGCATACCATGGAGAGCTGCAGATCCAAAATATGCAAACAATGAAGTTTACGTTGACCTTGTGGAAGAAATGGATACGGTTATAAACAGGTCAGTTCTCTGATCTTGCTAGAAGTTTACTCCTTATGTTAATATAATGTGCAATAGTGGAATGTCTCGTTTGTTTCGTATTGCATAGTTTTCCATTCAATGTACTGAGCCTGTTTCTTTTGCATGTGCTGTTTAGGGATGGAGTGTTGGTCAAATGTGAAATTTATGGTGAGGTTCGGGTAAACTCCCATCTGTCAGGTCTTCCAGATTTGACACTTTCTTTTGCAAATCCGTCTATTCTAGATGATGTCAGATTCCATCCCTGTGTTCGCTTTCGACCATGGGAGTCCCATCAAATTCTGTCGTTTGTTCCTCCTGACGGAGAGTTTAAGCTTATGAGTTACAGGTTCTCCGATACATTTGACTTTCTGCTAAGTTTCAACTGATGCTGCAAAATATTATCTTTAAAGCATCTTTATTTCCATGCAGAGTTAAAAAGTTGAAGAGTACTCCCATATATGTAAAGCCACAGCTATCATCGGATGCTGGGAAATGGTGTGTTAATGTGTTGGTTGGTTTAAGAAATGATCATGGAAAGACAATTGACTCAATAACTCTGCAGTTTCAATTACCTCCTTGCGTTTTATCTGCTGATTTGACTTCAAATACTGGTACTGTAAACGTCCTCGGAAACAAGGTATTTACTACTTTCCGATCACAATATAAACGATATACCTTTATTTAGAGTATGATATTGATCAGTATAATTTATAGATACTAATATCGTCTAGAGATGTATCCGATTATTTGATTTTGACACGTCTCTGCAGACCTGCTCTTGGTCAATTGGTCGGATTCCTAAGGATAAAACTCCATCGTTGTCTGGCACATTGGAGTTCGAGTCTGAACTAGAGCGTCTTAATGTTTTTCCCACTTTCCGAGTGGGTTTTAAGATTATGGGTGTTGCCCTCTCTGGCGTGCAAATAGATAAACTGGATCTAAAGAGCACACCAAGTCGTCTGTACAAAGGTTTTCGAGCTCTAACACAAGCAGGAGAATTCGAAGTGAGGTCATAATTTAAATATTTGTATCAAGATGAGTTGGTGAGGAACTTGTTTATCAGTATTCTTTGTGCCGGCTTCGTTTTCCCAGAATTTACATTGTTTGCTGATCCAGAAACTGTTGTATTTGGTACTTCTGAAATATGAGTACCTTTTGACAAACTATGGCTCCTTTCCTTCCATTTCCAATTTCAGGAAATGTTTGCTCTTAATCATCATGGATTACACTGAGTAAAATCAATGCCATAACCAACTTTCTTGTCACGATCTTTACCTGATTACTCGGATTTTTGGATGCAAGTGTTGAATGTGAGTATGTTCTAACACAAGTAGACAATGTTTTCTTAGTTCTTTCATGTATATGGAGTATCCTTTGGCTGTCATCTACAATACAGTTCAATAAAATTGGAGCAAATACTCCCCAAAGTTGAAACAAGTATACATCTTTTCAACAAGAAAGAATAAAAAACCTGATCTCAAGAAAACTAAAGAACGGGTGGGTAGTCTCAAGTTAAAAACTGATCAGCCAGCCACCTTGTTGACCCTAAAAGAATCCATAACTTGCCGCAGATCATCTTCTTCTTCTACAAATACGCTTTCGGTGTTTGTAATCTCAACTCGTATAACCGGTTGTTTTCAACTCCGAGAACCGAAAGGTACCGCCGGTCCCATTCTAATCTAGGTACTCTGTCTTGTGGCATCACATAAAGTTCATTGGCGTTTGCGTATGACCTAATGTTCACCTAAGCAAAAACACAATACCAAACATCAGTTATTCGTTACAAAAGATGGAATGACCTATGTGACTCGAAGGAAAATGACCGAGCAGACACACTGACTAGCCTCAACTTGATAATATAGTTTCCCATCATCTGCAACTCTTGAGGAAATGGAAAGTACATTTGATTCACGCCTTACACCAAGCCTAGTTGACATGAACTCAGTCAAGTACTGCTTAAGTACTTTGTTTCCAGCTTCTTCTGGAGGACCCAAATCTTCAACAGTCTTATACCTGGAAGATGAAGGAGAAGATAACTCCACTGAGAGATTTTCATCAAGAACATAAGGGTCCCTGAAGAATATATCAGCTCCAGCACCTCGAACTTGAATCCAGTTCTGAGGGTACTTCAATGAATACCCATCAAATGTATCTATGTACTCTCTGAACCCTACAGCTGATGGTTCAGCAAATGAAATTCAACTTCCGAGAAGATACATGTTGATAAAATCAACGCCATTGCACTCCTCCTTGTGATTGAAAAAGCTGTAATCTGATTAAAAAAATATAAGCATTCAATAACAACCCATTTGCAAAACCAGCTCAAAGATGCTTCTTTTTCGCCCTTTTTCATGTATTCTGACATGAACAAATGCATGGAATCATAATTACCGCTACTGTAAATTCATCAAGAAAATGGTTGTGGGGAGTAAAACGGTGTCACCGATTGGTTTCTGCGAGTGCAAAGACGAAGAAGCAGAGGAAGGGAATGGAGTGGAAAAGCGAGTTCGGAGGGTGGGTCGACTCGGGGGCAAGAGCGAGTCAAGTCTGATTGCCATTTTCCGATATCTCGCATGAGTGACAGTTGCAGAAGGCCCAAGACAGGAGGAGAGAGGCCGATAGCAAAAGGATAGAGTTTGGATTGGATCAAATGTGTGATCTATGAATCTGTGATACAGACGTGGCAGTTTCTGATTGGTTCAGTGAACAAGTTGGTTGTCTTAATTTCGTTGTGGCTAATCCAACGATCGAAAACAGCTAAATAATAAGATGTAGAAGAAAGAACAACTTTTTATAATTTAATATATCATTTAATTACATTGCATGAACTTCAGAAATGCCTATTTCTGGTTTTAGTCTCTCTATTATGTTAAATTTTATAATTTAATCTCTCTAATTTGACATAACGTGATCCATCTACTTTTATAATGTTAATAATTCAGATCGATAACACTGTTAATTGTTAGAGTTAAATTGATGGTGTGAATGTTTTTAAAAAGTTATTCTTACTAAAAATGTAAATTTACTATTGGTTGGTTGAATACAATTTATTAGATTTTTATATAACCTTGATTATGTGCTAAAATAATAATAAAAATTTCCATATCATCACTTCATTGACCATGATGCCATCAATTTTAACCTATTGATAATATTATAAAATTATAGATCCAAATTAAGCTAAATTAAAGTAAAAAATAGAGAGGGATTCTATATTAAGTTTGTGGAATTAGGGATTTTTTTTAGCGAACTGGATATTAGATTCACGTTCATGAGATTATAAAAAAAGTAAATTTGAAATGTTTGGGTCAAACAATCAACGTTGTTGGTAATCGCAGCGACCGATGATAGTAAGTGGTGGCCGATGGAGAGGACTTTAACTGGATTCATGGATCACATTGATATTTTATTTAAAATTTATGAGTGAAATTAGTATTTTATCTAAAATTTAAGGTAAAAAAATAAAAGGGATGGTCAGTGTAGTTTACCTTTTTTCTTAAATAAGCCTTCTTTTTAAGGGTAAACTACGCATTTAATACCTAAACTATTAGTTTTGATCCGTTTTATTACCTGAAATTTCTTTTTTTCTTCAAAATCATACCTAAAATTTAATTTTTGTACCAACTTAAGTGTTGGAAAAAATTGAAAATTTAGGTACCAAAACACGTTTAGTACCTAAACCATACTTAAGTTTTGAAAAAAATAAAAGTTTAGGTTCTAAAACAGACCAAAACTAATAGTTTAGGTACTAAACACGTTAAATTTTTAAAGAATGATACTAAAATAAAATAAAAACTAAATGTTATATATGATTTTGAAATAATTAAAAGTTTAAATACTAATACAGATAAAAACTGATAATTTAGGTATTAAACTCTTAATTTACTCTCTTTTTAATTACCCTGAAAGAGGAGTAATTAGGGGTGTTCGCGGTCGGTTTGGATCGATTTTTGACTAAGAATTCATCCGATCCGAAAGTATAAATATTTGCGGTTTGGATGTTTCTAAAAAAAATCTGATCCGATCCGATATAATTAAATGTGACTTGATTCGGTTTAGATTTGTGTAGTATTTGGATTATAATTTTTCAAAATAATTCTTGAATTTTTTTCCATAAAAAACAACATATGTATAACAAAAACAAAAAGAATATATATTTTAACAAATGTTTATGATGTGGAGGTAGAGCCGTTTGGGTTGTAAGTGAGGACTTGTGGTCGAAGAGGATGAGAAGAGACTGAGTAAATTAAAAACGAAAGAATTCAATTTTTGGCCAGTGAGTGAGTGATTGCGAACCAAGAAAAGGGTTTCATTTTTTAATCTCATATCTCCCGTCTCAACAGTCTCGATGACTGTTTGAAAACACACAAACCATCTTTTTCCGAATTTATGATTATTGTCCCAAATCTTGTGATTCATGACTTATTCCTGTTATTTACCTAATGACACAGATCCTAAACTCAACTTAGCTGCTGGCAACGTAAACTAGGAAACACACTTGGGTAGAAGCTGGAATATTATATGGATTCGAGAAGCGGATTGTCAAAGCTTAATAACTGTCAAGTTCATAGTAGAAAAAGATTCCATCGTGCAAATTAAATGGACGATTGATAGAATTACACGTGAATATTAAAATAATAAACTTAATTATTATATTTAAATTTCAACCTACACGAGTTAATCTAGCTGCTTTCCTCTTCTTCTCTCGTTTGGTGCAGTGAACTTCAAACGGTTTTGTAAGATATTATTGGTTCTGTTCGATTTGGATTGATTCCGAATTTTTAAATCGAAATCGAACTAAACCGACCGATTTTATAAAAAAAACCAAGTATACTAAATCAATATCGGTTATTAATTTTTTGGATCAATTTTCAGCTATTTTTTTATATCGAATTGAATCTGAGCACATTAATTATAGGGTTTGGGTTGTACTGTAACAGCCGAAAAGACGAAGGTACTATTAGATATGGGTTTACATCAGATGAGAAGAATCACATTTTGATATTCTCCGCCAAAAGACCACTCCTCCAAACCCTGTCTTCCCTCGACCCCCAAAAGGGAAATGTCGAAACGAAAGTCCACCGCAGCCCCGGTCACGGACGACCCACCGCACCTCCAACCGGTTCCCAAATTGAGATCATTTCCAACCACCCTGGGTTCCGAGGTTCATGGTACACCGGCGTAATTGTCAAGCATGCTCCTCCTAAAAAACCCAACAAATTCGTAGTCGAATACACCCATCTTTTCGAAGATGATGCTGGTACTAAACCCTTGAGGTAGACCATCGACGCTGTGGATATACGCCCTCCGGCCCCTCGAGAAAAGTCCAGGAAGTTTAAGTTTAGTGAAGGGGTTGATGCTTTTCATAATGATGGCTGGTGGGAAGGGTTATTACCAAGGAGTTGGAGAATGGGAGGTTTCACGTTTACTTCAAGAGGTCCAAGGAGCAGCTGGAGTTTGGAGAGGACCAGTTGAGGCTTCATAGAGGGTGGATTAAAGGGTCTTGGACGCCACCACTGGAGGAAGATGAGCAAGTTAAGTTAGCGAACAAGGTAAATTCCTTTGGGTATTTATTGTTTCTTAGTACTTGGGTTTTCTTGCATCTGTTTGATTGTTGAAATTCGAAGTACATAGATATAAAGAATGCTAACAATATGGTTTTATGATTTGTTTATTGCAACTAGTTCAGAATGGTTTTATGAGTTCTATATATTATTGTGGATCTAAGTATACGAGTATCAAACTATCACGTGCTGAATATGAACTTTAATAAATATGCCATTAGGATTAGATACAAATAATTCGATTCTCCTGATGGAGGCATGTTTTACTGATTCAATGTATGAACTTGGAAGTCATTATATGAATTTGTTTCTCGAAATTGTTTGTGATTTGTTCCCTTAGTTGTTCTAGTTTGTTTATACTTTTCAAGTAATGATTGATGGACCTTTAATTAACTACAAAATAAATGAAAAAAATTCTAGTCCACAGAAGCAGGGACTGAACGAAAGATAGAATTAAACAACGTTCGAGAGAAGCTAGAGCATGATAATACAGCAAGCAAAAGGAAGTTAAAGTCTGATTTAGCCGGGAGTGGAGGGAAATTGGAGTCTGGTAAGATAACAGAGTATAGCGAGGGAGAACGTGTTGAGGTGACGAGTGATGAAGATGGTTTTGAAGGTGCTTGGTTTACTGGAACTATTGTTAAAGCAGTAGGGAAGAACAAGTACCTATTTCAGTATGATAGCTTGAGAACTGACGATGACAGTGAATTCCTAAAAGAGGAGTTTGTTGCCCTGAACATTAGGCCTTGTCCACCGGAAATTGTTATGGCCAATGCATTCCAAAAACTTGATGAAGTCGATGCTTTCTACAATGAGGTCTGGTGGGTGGGTGTGATTTCCAAGGTTATTAAATCTCTTCCTGAGACAAAGTATGAAGTCTATTTCAAAGCTACCCAGGAGGAAATGAAGTTTAAACACTCCGAGTTAAGGATGAATCAGGACTGGATTAATGGGAAATGGGATACTGCTTCCAAGGTATGACACCCTTATCCCCCTTCAACGTCTTTATAGGTATTTGTTCTTGAATGGTGTTGCATGAGTTTTGCTTCACAAACTAAAAACACGGCTACCTTTCTCTAGACATGCGAAATTGTGTATATGCTTGCTGTGTTTGCATGGAGTTAGGCCTTTATTCCTGAATCTATGCATCCCGGTGTTTTGTTAAACTTCTGCAATTAACAAATTCTTCAATAGATGTATGAGACGTCGAAAGTGATTTATGCACGATTAGACACGAGTCAACAACAAACGATTACATGCTTCGCTAGTCAAATGATGGCAACCTTTTCCCATCTTTTCTATGTCATTAGTAGTTGGTAACTCTCATATTGCGGCTTATCCAAGTTCAACACCCAATTATTTCTTCCAAGTTTTGATTCGACTCCCTAACAGAAACCATCCGTGATCAATGCACCAATTCTGAAAGTGGTAGTTTTTACTGGTTTTGTGTTGATTGTGATTAGTTTCTACCCAGGCATTAAAGTCATAGTTACTGAAGGAGAGGTGTCAACGGTACTTCAGCTGGGGGCGTTTTATGTCGGAATCAAAGTACAGCCAAATCTTTTCGGTTTTTCAGCTGTTGCAGTTGTGCTGGTGATTGCTTGTGTAACCAGTTTTAGGCATTCATATGCATATTCTTTCAGACTGAAGGTACCTTAACACGCAAGTTTAACTAACTAAAGGATTCTACTTGCCTAGCCTTTTATGTGAAGGATTAATTGTGCATTACTTTCCCCTACAATTTGTGTGTTTGTTGGAATCGATGAAACTACTTCTGTGATAGGGGTGCGGTTGTTGTGAAACTCAGATTAATAAATGTAGGTATTGAAATAGACTTGTCTATCTCAACTTAAAGGTTGCAGTACGGTTAAAAGTTGTACGTCGTTGCAGGTTGCAACAATAATATTAATGTTAATAAATTGATTTAAAAAGCTAAAATACATCAAGTCAAATCGATCATTTTCTCGATAAGTTACTATTTAATCATTCAATTAAGTATTTTTTTACAAATATGTCCATGTATCATTGAGTGACTAAATATTAGATAAATTGTAACGCAATAACAATTTTAATCTTAAAATTTATATATATTGTTAATTTTTTAATTCAAAATAATTTAATTATTCATATTTAAAAATTTTGTCTTCGTTCTCCCATAATTTTGTTATATTGTTTTCATGTTTAGAATCACTCTCAACATCTTATATGGTGTTGAATTTTATAAATGAGAGCATTGTATTTGCTCTTAATATCTTATTGTTTTGTCTCGACTTCTGAGACACTAAGTAGGGGAGTTGCTAAAATTTTTCTTATGAAATTCATTTTTCCTTGTACATTTAGAGGTTACATTCTTCTATGCTTTTTTTTAAGCATGAGGTGTAGTTTGTATCGGCTGTCGACCAATCTCATCTTCGAAATATAGGTTATTTTGTGAGGTTGTAAACTAAGCTTGTTAAAATCATATAATTAGTTAATATTCATTGACAAATGGCTTATATTACTAACTTGTTATTGTTTTATGATAAATATAATTATCCAAATGTTATTTTGGTTTGATGGACTTGAAAATGGAACTAAAACCTACGAGGACAATGTTAAACAAACCCTGATCTTAGTTATACTAACGTTAGACGTTTATCGTGGCTGGAATTTAGTCCCGAGGACGTAATTTTTGTTACTCAAATAACTTCTCTTTTGCCTCATAAACTACTCAATAAACAGTAAAGAAAGAAGAAAGTTCCCCTTCATGGTCCCACTGAGAAACAGAGTATAGTTTGTGCACTTAAAAATCATTTGGTAGTTCCATAAAATAGAATCGTAAAACATAAGTAACAACAGTTTTAGCATTTTTATTTATTGCTAATGATATCCATTGATGAAAGGCCCTCTGTCTCTATACCTCTCACTCCCACAGCATCACCATTCACTTGTTTTTCCTCCTTGATAACTTCACCTTCGATCTCGAAAGCCGATACAGGGAAACTCCTGTAAAGCCCCGCCGGGGTCTGGAAAGTGATCTTCCCAGTGGGCGGATCATCCACGTAGATATCGCTCAGGGTGATCCACACCAACAGCTCCTTCGTCTTCACCCCCGTCAGCTTCTTGATCTTGTTCTTCTCCACCACGGCGGTGACTTCGGTGTCGTAGCTGACGAGCTTCCCAATCTTTTCGAACTTGTAGGTGATGCTCTTCTTCTGTTTTAGCCACACGAAGCCAGTGTCCTTCACGTACCCACATTCTTCGATGTCTTTCAACGGCAGAAGACCCCTCGGCAGCCCTATTTCCTGGAGCAGAAACTTGGATTTCTCTTGGCACATCTCGTTGCCATGGTAAATCTCTGATGCACTGGCTTTTATCTCTTCAGTCACAAGAGACATCTTTTCTATCAACTTTAGTCGTCCAGGAAGATGATTATTGATGACGTTGTTGTAATAGTAATGTTTGGTTAAAGGAATAAAATATTAATGGAATGTATATTTGATCAAATTGTTTTTATTATATATTTATTTTTTTAACAAAATAAAAAATATTTATATATTTTCTTTAAAAAATTAAATTCATAAATTATATATGATTTTTTTATAAAATTGAAAATATAAAAAAGTTTAATGAAAGGGTAAAATTTTATTTTAACTCCTGAATTTCATATAAAATTTTAATTATAGATTTTTTTTGTAATCTAAAATAGTTTAAGGATAAATTTGTAATTTAACTTTTATAGATTTTTTATGAGAAAATCGCCTCAGTGACCAAAATTCCCATATAATATACGATTTTAACCAACTTTTTTCGGATTTGCCAAAATGACCAACAAAATCGCAATGCGATCGCTAATTCGCAACGCGATCTCCATTATCGCAAATTCGCGTTGCATTTCGCGTTGCGATGGTCTACAGTGTCGTTGCGATTTTCCCAATTCGCAATGCGAATAAGTAAATCGCAACGCGAATTGGGTAAATCGCAACGCGAATTAGGAAAATCGCAATGCGATACTGACTATCGCAATGCGATACTTACTATCGCAATGCGATAATACAAAATCGCAACGAGATACTGACTTTCGCAACGCGATTCTGACTTTCGCAATGCGATAATACATAATCGCAATGCGATTTTCAAAGCGCCATTAGTATCCTGGCCAAGTATTTTATTTTTAAATTCCAAACACGAATATTAATATATTGGAACACTGAACCGTCCACAGTATATCCCGTAATCGCAACTCATAACCTAAAACCTAAAATCACAACTCAGCTCCATCTCCATCTCTCACTCTCTCACCCATCTCCGACGAAATTCGTCTCCATCTCCGGCGAAATCCGTCTATCTCCATCTCTCAGAGCCACCCTCACAATCAGAAATGAAAAATCAACCAAATCAACCAACGAGGGTTAATTTTTTTAATTATTTTCTTTTTGAAATTTTTGCATTATTATTAGGTTGTTCATATTGAAATTGATGATAAGTTTACTGGTAATTTCAATAATAGATTAACAATTTTCACTTAGATTGCTTATTAAATCAATCGAGAATCGTAACGCGAAATGCAAATCGCAACGTGATTTTAGTTTCGCGTTGCGATAGTCAAATTCGTGTTGTGATAGTCATTTTTGTGTTGCGATTTTCATTTTCAGAAACTATTCTTCTTCTGCAAATTGAAAATTGAATGAATTGCATTACTTCAACCAAAAAACAAAGACAAATACAAAATTCACAGTGTTGCAAATTTAAGTTTGAAGAATAAACTACTACTCTTTATGTTTATTATTGCTTTTGGTATATCTTCACAGTGTAGTTTTTGGTATATCTAACTTAGTATGTTTATTGTTTTTGTAGAACTTTTATTCGGCTCAATTGACCTTAAGAAATAAAGTCAGCCTGGCCAAAACAATTGCGTCGAAGCTTTCACATGCACAAAGAAAAATGTTTGAGGATACATGCTTTGGGCCATGGCTGAAAGTACAACATCCCGGTGGAGATGCGATGTTGACACACCTGTTTCTTCAAACCATGACTAGCGATCTACCAGAGACTATACAACGTCGTGATGAAGAGATATGGTTTGATTTTCCACCGGCGTATACGTTTTTGGGGGAGGAGTTTTGCTTAATCACCGGTCTACGCTTCAGACACGATGATGTAGGGTCGGTACACTAGACACATTACCCGCCCATCATGGCTATCCCGGGTTTTTCTTGAGCTGGAGAGGCCGAATCTACACGTAGAAGACCTGACAAGATTGAATAAGAAAGATGGTTTTACTCGGATGGATGACGTCGACGTTGTCCGAGTATGCCTTCTAATTCTTTTGCATGCCGGCTTTTTAGGCAGAGAGGCCAGACAACCTATTCCAAATGATCTAATCAAATTGGTAGAAGACCTAAATGCGTGGAACCTGTTTCCGTGGGGCTCGTATTTATGGAAAGCTACATGGAATAAGTTATCGTCTGCCTTGGATGATCGAAAAAGTTTGCATGGCGATTGTTCCAAATACACTTTGACATGCTTTATTTGGGCCTTTAAGGTAAGAATTTTTATATAATGTTTCCAAAATTATAAGTAATTATTTAACAATTACTAATGTTTGTTATTATATTGTTTGTAGATTTGGATATTTGAGGCCTTTCCCGCCATGAAGACATATGCAATAAAAACTTCAAATGATATTCACAGGGCTATTTCCTGGAAGAGGAAACGGACCTTGCAATGGGAAGATTTACTACGGTATACGACAATAAATAATGTAAGTTAACATAAATACTACCATATGTTTATAAACAAGTTATTACTAGTACACGTTTAACTTTGTTTGAGCTTTTATATTGTTAGGAGGCCAACACTCCTCTACAGAGGCTGACACCCACGGAAGCTGAGCTTGCCACTGATTGGTGGCAAGCTAGTAAGCATTTTTTTGATAGAACGGTTGATGAGCAGCCTCCACTTCGGGAGCCATCACCTCGCCCAGAGCTATCACCTCACCCAGAGCCATCATCTGATCGACCCGACTATACACCTCCACAACGACAGCCATCATATATTCTGTCACATCAACGAGCTTCTTCTTCACCATCACCGCAAGATAGGCGACCGGCAAAGATGCCACGACGTTTATCTCCCTGTTCTCCACCTCCACCTCAACGGGATGAGTTAGGGGAGTTACGTGATGAGGTCAATGCCTTGCGTGAGGAGGTCGATACTTTACGCAAAGACGATGGTGCATGGCGTGTTGAGGTGTCTACATTACGTGGTGAGGTAGCCGCTCTACGTGAGATGGTAGCATCGTTGCAGAATGAGGTTCATACTCTATGCAACGAGGTAAGTTTAAGATTTTTCATACTCGTAATTCTTTCGGTTGCTGCCAATACTGCTAAATTGTTTTTGTTAGTATTTGTTTTTGGTTTTGTTTTTGTCTTTTGGTTGAAGTAATGCAATCCATTCAAGTTTCAATTTGCAGAAGAAGAATAGTTTACTTTCGCAACACGAAAATGACTATCGCAACGCGGAAATGGCTATCGCAATGCGAAATGAAAATCGCAATGCGATTTGTGTTTCGCGTTGCGATTTCATTTCGCATTGCGATTTTGTCGTTGCGATTTTCATTTCGCATTGCGATTTTGTCGTTGCGATTTTCATTTCGCATTGCGATAGCCATTTCCGCGTTGCGATAGTCATTTTCGCGTTGCGATTTTAAGTTTCGTGTTGCGAAAGTAAACTATTCTTCTTCTGGAATGTTTATATATGTTGTCCTTTTAAATGTTTATATAAGTGCTTACTTCTGGAATGTTATCTGAGCATTTTGTGAACTATGATAGAATAATGACTTGGGTGAATACAATGCTAGTTTGAAACATATTTGTCTTTGTTTAATATCATGTCTGTTTATTTACTGATTTATGTATTAATTTTTTTTAGCGGCCCGATAAGGTGGATGCTTTACGTCGGGTTTTCCTTGCACGACGGAGTTCACGCATCAGACGGCATGGACGTGCTATTACGTCTCCGTTCACCCCAATGGTGCGAAGACTCCGCAAGAAGAAGCCCGACTCACATGTCATCCCTCAAGAGTCCCCTCCAATCGTTCAAGAGGCCCCTATCCTCCCTCAAGAGTTCCCCCCCCGTTCAAGAGGCCACTGTCATCGTTGAAGAGGTCCCTCCCACCATTCCAGAGTCCGATTCACATGGGGTAATATATCGAAGTATTGAGAAACCCCCACCGGTTCCGGACATGATGGATGAGAGTTGGCTCTCGTATGAGTTACCGGTTAGTACCCTTCCGGTATCTGAAGTGGAGAGGAGACAACTACCGGAAATAATTGTGGATAATACCCTTTGGGCTAAGACCGCAGTTGATTTTTATCTACATGAGCGGAGCCAAGGGTGTTACACTGACATAAGCAAACTCAACGATGAAATGTTTTTGTTGCTTGATCGGTCTTGGTGGGGTGTGCTATTAGGGGTTGAAGACAGTGGCTATTTCGATGGAGAGGTAAGTCTTATATTGGTATTATATATGATTTTGATTAATTTTTTTAAAAATTAATGTAATTCACTAATATATGTATTTTTTTGTAAAACAGCATATCGATGCGTGGGTGTCACGTCTACTAATAATAAGGAAGCTTAGGAAAAATAAAAAAATTCGCGATATACAATAATGCCGGCGGCTTTTCACGCAGTTCACTTGAAGAATCAACGAGATGAATCATTTTCGTTGGGCAATGGACAAGCTAAACTTTATCCTGCATGGTGGGAGGTCGATAAGGTTAGTGTTTATTTTTTAAATTTTTTAAAGGTGTTCATAAATATGTGCGCAAATAAATGAATTATTACTTATGATTGCAGGTGTTTATCCCTGTTTTGGAACGTCGTCATTGGCTTCTCGTCCAACTTCAGCTCCCATCCCTGAAGATAATAGTGTATGTCAGCATGATAAATTACATATCACTGTCTGATTTGAGAGATATGATCAAGGGATGGAGCTCTCATTTGGCTAAATTCTTGGATGGGATTAATTATTGGACTCATTCTGGACACAAGAAGCCAAAGAAGTTCAATGTCACAGTTGTCAGAGACGAGACCGCGCCACAATAATCGCCGGGAGCCAGAGGGGATTGTGGTCCTCTCGTATGCTTGTGCTTGGCGCGTTTGACGACGGGAAGCACAGAGTTTCTACCTCCCACCGATAGAGATAGAGCTGCAGTAGGCTTGTGGTTTCGGCATTATATGGCTAGAGCAATATATTCGAGACGCTGCCTACCTGCATCCGCCTTATGAAAGTGTCCATTGTTAATTGGTAAGTCAAATGCAAGTTTTGTTAACATATATACTCCTTTTAGTTTGAAAATGTTTGGTTAAGTACCTAGAATTCAATAATTTGCTGTTTGTAGGTTTTAGATGTGTAGGAAGTCTTGTTTGA